CTATTTGAATCTCCTCAAACCGTTTTCCTACGATTTCACTATTATTTGTTTATAAATAAAAGTATTAAAATTTATCTATTTACAGGATCAGTTATACCACTATTTAATTATTTATTATTTATTACTTTTCACTTTATTATTGTTTTAGCTGGATAATATTTACTTAGTTATTTTTATTGGATTTTTTAGTATTTTTTTAATTCGTGATGGCAAACAATTATTCATTCAAATTATTCTAGTGTCTCTCATTATCGGAATATCCAATCAATGGCGAACAGGTGTGAACGGTTCACATGCACATCACAAGTGTTTCACGAATGGAAATCTTCAAAGCAAATGCAAATTTTTTTTTCCGTGTCCTCACTGGAAAATTCATTGGGATTTCTAGTTCCAAACGATTTAATTTTAAAAGACAAATCTAATTTCTGCAATTCTGCGATTGAAATATATGCGATAAAAAATAAAGGGGAACTTTTAAAAAATGGATATTTCATGCAGAAATTTCAGTTTGTAGTCTCCAATTAAATTATAAATAATTATCGTTTTTCGTGTTAATCGCAGAATAATTCATACCAGAGTCATTTCGTCCTTGGAATCCTCAGAGCGCGGTTATTGTCATTTTAATTAGCATGTAACATCACGCATTAGTAGAAAGTGGATTATCAAGCTCGTTCGTTAAAGATGAAAAATAATTGGAATCGTATTCTTCGGTAATTAGTGTAATTGCAGACGTTTTAATGAATTTTTAAATTAAATGTTTACGTTTCGATTTCTTTCTCGTTGTTTATTTATTCTATCATTTCATTTAAAATTCTAAATAAAAAATCGTCGCATGCAATTCATTTAGTTTCAATTTTTCGATTCGTTAACCTCATGGTTAACGCGTGATTAAAGTTGGTGGGGGGTCTTAATTTAAATTTAACCGCGTGCTTAATTAATTATTATTATTATTATTATTATTTATTTCCCAAAGTATGGCTATTACACCTTATACAATTAATTAATTAATTTATTATATTAATTCATGAAATAACTGGCCCCCAATATTTCAACTGATTTGTTATCGATAAATCAATCAATTTTCTTAAATATTCAATTGCAAGTTGAACCCACCATAGGAAAATTAATTCTAAAAATACATCATATTTCACTCATTCTTTATATTTTTTTCTCTATGATTATTATTATTATTATTAATACTCATTGTGATTATTATTATTATTTAAATATACCGACGGCAGTGGCCGTGCGGTTAGAGTGCTGGACTAGCATGCCAAGGATCCGGGTTCGATCCCGGGCACCGGCGGACAAAAATATATAGCGCTCTGATCTCACGGTTTCACTGCCGAGCGGTAGTCCTGTCAAACGGACGACTGTACCAGGGCAGGTTTTTCCCTCAGATGAGGTTTTCCCTCCCTTTCAGCAAATGCGATACAGGGGGTTGAGGGGTGGGAAGGGAACAAATCGTAAAAACCCGAAAGGATATACGAGTGAAAGAAAAAAAAAAATATATTTAAACATGGAGATTAATTATTAAGGAACGACAATTGTTCTATGTAAATATTTTTTACTTTTATTTAACTATTTTGAGAACTAATGAAAGATATAAGATAATAAAAATTCATCAATTATTTATTTTTTTATTCGATACTTCAATTAATCTTTGTTATTACTTGTGAATCTCCAACGAAATTTGATTCTTGAATTTTTCAAAACTTTATTTAAACTTAATTGTTATATAGACGCATGACTATGAAAATTTGTGGACCATTGAATAATGACAAAATTTGAAAACGCCAGAGTTTTTTGGACTGAGAGAAAAATTTAGTAAAATGTAGTAAGCCTATTTGTTTGCGAGGAAAAAGAGATGTCTTTACAACAATCTTAAAACAATTAAAAACATTTCTAAAGTTATTTATTTATTAATTATGTATTTATTAAGTTCTTTTCAATCTTTTCATAAATTTCCGCCTATTTTCTATTTCCTAACAAATATTTATTAAAAAAAATAAAAATACTCTAGTAAGATAGTTATGATTATTTAATTCTATTATATTAATTTTCTGTCACTATTCAGAAGTTGAAAATATTTTTCTTTTCTTAATAAACAACAATAAATTATTAGTTGCTACCAAGTGCATTACTAAATGTAATACATTTTTATTAATATTTTAACGAATACTAATTTCAATTTTGAATTCTTACAAATAATTTAAATTACAATTGAACTAAAAAATTTCAATTAGTTGTTTCAACTAAATTTATTCAATTGAATATTTAGCACTCGCAATCACATGTCCTTGCGACGATTCATTAATTTCTTTCATTATTTTCAAAACAATTTTTAATTTATTAAATATTTTTCTCAATCCCCTCCTCCCCCCCTCCACCACACAATCCATTTGTGATAAAAAAGCTAGTAAAATTAATAAATTAATAGAACTTTTAAATGAGTTTCAATATATAGATTAATGACTGTAACACCAACGAAGATAAATTATAATAATTATAAATATTTTATAATTTATAAATACTTCTAGAAATTTGAATAAAACAAAAAGTGAGAATATTTTCGCAATAACTTTTTTAATTTTAAAGGCTGTTTGCAATTGCGGAACTGACGAGGTACGATAATAAAAATTCGATAGTTGTTTCAGTCAATGATTAAGACAAAGGGTTCTAGAATGATTAGTCCGGTCCTTGAATCTGCCATACACGTCGTAATTTATTGGAGTCTTGCCCAATGACAAAAGACAACACCAACTTTTACGATTTGTCTACGTGCGTTTAAATGGAAAATTCAATTTATCTCCTAGCCATTGTACAATCACTGACTCATTTTGCTATCCGATTTTTTCGTTTTATTGTCACTCAACGGATAATCGATAACAATATTTATCTGAGATAAATCGATCGCTTGGAAATCGATTTTCGTTTTTTTATTTTTTTTATTGTAAAGAGATTTTTCGAGTTTTTTTATCAAGCATTTTCGAACCTGAGAAGTTTAATTTGCTGGAGTCAAAAAATACAAAATGACACCTAAAACTTAAAGTAAATGAATTTTACATTATTATCGAACATTTATTCAAGAATTTATTAATGATGGGAATTGATTTTTTTTGTCTAGTGTGGCTAAAAATTCCCTAGTGCAGTTTTCATTTTGTTTTGGAAAATGGAAAACGATTTTTGTGTCGCAGTGGAAATTTCCAACTGACTATTACACAAATTCAAATTCGTTGATGTTTATTTTTAGTGAGCACTGAAAATAAACGCTATGAGAAGATGGAGGGAATTGATGTTGAGTGCAACTCCTAGGGTTGAGGATTTTTATGATTTTCAAACGTTTTTATCGGATTAATTGAGACTAATCGATTGTTTTATCTTTGGAAAATGGCAAATGCGGTAACGAGAGTAATTTGCCGCTGTGAAGATGCGCAGGAGCATAAGAATCTCGGTAAAATATTGTCTTTTATTGTTGTTTAAAAATAAAAATCGAATCTACACTGTACTGCGGAGATTAAGGTTAAGGCACATTTCATGGGATAATTTATCGTCAATTTCCTAAACCCATTTTTTTTTAAATAATTGAAGACCATTTTAGCACATCAGTTCAATTTATTGCATTATTTATTAAATTTATTATAAAATTAAATTTTTCCATCTGCATATAGTAAATTAAACTGTATATCAGCTTTACTATTATTTTGCATAAAATTTGATAAATCAATTGAATTGAATTGTTGAATAGATTTTGTTATTCCGAAATTGTAACTGAAAGTTTTAAAAATGCAGTTGTTATTAATTATATAGGAAAGTTCATAATTTATTCGATATGAAAATTTCTAGTTTTATGCACTTGTTTATAATGAAATTTAATTGTTGTATGTATGAATGATTTTTCATTTAAAAATGAATTGTTTTTAATTTTAATGTTAATTCGCTGGCGTTAAATCAAATTATTCAAATTTATTATTAATAATTTATCATTATTATTCACTTTTTTGTAATTACAATTTATTATTAATTATCGTTTATCAATTATTTATCGTATTAATTGTTGTTAATGCAAATATTGATGTTATTGCATTCATTGAAATTATAATTTGAATTAACGCAACTAAATGAATAATAGATTTTTTTCCGTGTTTATTGTATAATTTGCAAATTAGTATTATTGTTTATGTGTGTACAAATATTCTGAGCCATTCGGGAAACAATTACTGAACTTTATATAACGTGATTTAGCGCTATTTTCCACGAACAATTTGAAAGTCATTTGAGAAAATTAATTGTTCACATTTGTACGTAATTGATTCAATACTCCAGTAATGAGAGATATTGTGGGAGAAGTTTGTTTTGTAGAAAATACACTTTGGAATTCGTATTAGAGAAGTCCAACGGTTTGAGGATATTTAAACAATTTCCTCGTCTTATTTTAATCTTCAGTAATGACTGCTTATTATTGTTATCTCTCATTATAAATCATGACAATTTCGCTGTAATAATTCAATTCATTTAATTAATTTCGGAGTTATTAAACTTCTTGAAGACAAAGCTTTGGATTAACGTGAGAAAATCAAGAGACTTTTTCCTCAAAAAACGAGATTTTCTGAAATTTAATGGACAAATTCGCATGATTCGTTTCATTTATATTAACCGTTAACTCTTACCTTCTCCATTTTGTTCTATTTGTCTCATTTTATTTTATTTCATGATTTCGTTTTTATTTAGTTTATACTATATCGATTGTAAATTATCGCAAATCGCCTGCGCCACTAAATAATCAAACAACAAGGAAAAACAATTGGATTTTTTAATGCGATTGAAGAAATGAAAAGTTGGACATTAATTACGTTTCCGCAAAGGAAATCGCAATGTGAAAGCGTGAACTTTACGTTTAGAGCGTTAGAATTACTTTCATACACCGATAACAGTTTTTCCATTGTTTACATCATCATCGCTGGGGCATCAAATTCATTCCGAATTTTATTAAAAAATTTCCCGGAATTCGGAGAACAAAAATTCTATGACGAAATGGAAAACTAGAATGAGTGAATTTTTTCGCAGTCAGTTTTTAGCTAATATATCCACTTTAAAGCAACATAGCGAATTTTTTGTATTAACATTTTTTGTAGGAAAAAATGAGATCTACAGAAAAGGTAATAACGAAAATATCGCTACCTGCCTTCAGTTTCGAGAAATTGGTGAAAAACTGCGCTCGAAAAAAATTCGTTTTATTTTCTTTTTTGGAATGAAAAACATTTATTGTTCTCGGTATTAATTGACGTTTATTATAAATTTCCAATAGATTTTTGACGCGGCATTTACTATATATTAAATATTTATATTGATATTTTTCCAGATTTGTCAGAATGCCAGCTGATGCAAGTGCCGGATGCTGTTTATCACCTGATGCGGCATACGGAGTTGAAATCATGCGATTTATCTGGCAACGTAATAACAAAAATTCCACCAAAATTTGCGGTCAAGTTTTCACTCATTACCGGTAAGTTTTCTTCCATTGATGAAGAATTTCTTTTTCCTTGACATTTCACTTTCACTCACTAATGAGGAGAATTTATGATTCACAGAGTTGAATTTGAGTCATAATCAAATGAGCAAATTACCGGAAGAACTGGCGGAACTTCAGGAACTGGAGAGGCTCGATATTTCTCATAATTCATTCATTGCACTTCCACCTGTTACTTGTCGAATACCACAATTGAAACGACTGCTCGCCAACAATAATTCGATTATTGGTAAATACTTTCCTATTACTTTTATCCCAAAACGAGGATTTCTGCGCATGGAAAATTTTAAATTTGCAAATTTGATATTTCAATTGAATTGAATAAATCATTCAATATATAATACATTTCACTAGTCTAAAGTTGGAACTGATTATTTTGGAAATGTCATTTGTATGAATTTCATATGAAAATTTATTTATTTATTTGTCAGTATTAATTGTTTTTAATTAAAAGAATAATAATTCAATTACTTAATAATTCACGATACATCTTCCGAAACGAGGATTTTTATTTGAAAAATTGTTATATATTCTTTTTCATTTTCTCCAAAATCCCTTGAGACTTTCATCAAAATAATGGAGATGAATGATAGATGCACAACGCAGATCGATTAATATAATTTATTTTCCAATTCAGACGTGGACGTTGAGAGACTGCAACGAGCGCCTGCCCTGGAGTACGTCGATCTCCGCGAGAACACGATCCCTCCACGTATTCACGACCTTCTTCTCGTCAATCTTGGAAAATTAAAGGTCGAACTGACTCCACGACAAGTCGAAGACTGGGAGGATCTCAATGTTTGATTGTTACCAAAAAAACTCACTCCATCATGTATGTCTTAAGATAATCCACTGAGAAAAGAAAAATCTTTTCCAAATTACATTTACTCATCCCAAAAAAATTTATTTGATATCAAAGTTTAGATAAGAGTTGAGATTTTTAATTAATTGAGATTGTTAGTTAATTTGTGGGAGGGGATATGTTCTCTTATCTTTTGTTAATTGTTTAGGGACGGATTTTTTAAATTGAATTTCGAATGTTTATTTGGTATCATGTCTTGTGGAATTATTTATATAGATTTACTGGTGGCAAGTAAATATAATTGGCAAAAGACATTTCTTTTTTTACTCTGGTCATCAGCAAGGGCGTTTTAGTCTTTGCACTCCAGAATGTGAGAGGAGAGTTGTCGAAAAGCGAATGCAGTTATTTTATTAAGAGGAACATCAATTCGATTTGTGAAAAATATTCGAACTCTATGTGGAGATTTACAACGAAAATGGAAATCTTTTTTCCTTTTCTGTGCACATTGAATATTAATTCGATTATTTAATGTTAATCGACTGATCTTGAGGATTTCTAATTAAAACGCACGAGTTGTTATTCAATTCGTGTTTTAACAATTATTGAAATGGCATACTAGAATTTCTATAGAGTTTTTGCAGACGAAATTCAAATAAAATTGGATCGAAGAATGAAATTTAATTAGAAATTTTGAATTTTTAGAGTTTATAAATCTTGAGGGTAATTCGCACTTTATAAATATTTGATGGCTATCAAAATGTCGAGGTCGTACAATAAATTTCCTGCGCTTTTTTGGAACTTTTAAACAGTTCATAAAACTTTGTAAAATAACGCAGAAAAATTCTTGTACAATCATGAACTTTTGGGATAACAGAATGATAAAATGCGAAAACGATATTTTTTGGGTTGACCCAATCACTTCATTAGAAAACTCTAAAAAAAAAAAGAGAAAATCCTTACAATACAGAAATTTGAATAATTTATCTGCTGTCTGAATTTTCCGGAAAAGAAAATACGAGAAATTCCAAAGAACATGAAATTTTCATCGTTTCTTATAAATCGGAATCGCCAATTGTTGTACTTAATTCCCGCCAAAACAGAAAAATTGACATTTCGCGGAATGACTTCGTTGATTCGTATTCTCCAAATAATTCAATCCTTTTAATGCAAACATTTTTGAATGATTTTACCCACAAGATTGAAGTGAAACAAATTGGATTGCATTAAATCTTCAAACCCTTGAAATATTTTAAAACAATTTTAAAATGAAAATTTACAGATTATAGTAATTATAATATTCACAGTACTATATATACAATACGATTGAATGTTTATGAGAATACCTATTAAACAATTCCATTGCGAAGTGATGAACTAGTACAAGTGAACTTTTCCGAGGCCAGTTTTTAGTCAAATTTTGTAGCTCTTATCGTTTTCTATAGAAAAGTCTGTGTCAAAAATTCGCTTGTTCAATTCCGAGATGGCGTCTAAAAACTGGAATAAAAAACTGGACCTATCATAGTTTATCATTTCGCTACTAAACGAAACATTTGAACGATAAATAGAATTGTAACTGTTAATTGTTGAAGAATCTGATGATCCTCTTTAAGTTGCAAATTAAATATTTGCACATTAACAAATTTCAAATAGATATTTTAATACAAAAAATGAGCTGTGATTCTCACGCCCACAAGGCGACAGAATCCACTCTATAGTTTTATTAATAAACGTTTATAATAATTTGATAACGAAATGGTAACGACTGTAAATGGAAAATTTTCAATCACTTGAGTAGAGATTTGTAACTGATTAAATACTAACAAATAGGCTGATATAGTATCTAATTTTTGATTATTTCGCGTACTACAACTACAGCTGTACATAATATAAATATAAATATTTGTACTGTACAGATATATTTACTACTGCGTCGTTCGTCAACCTAGGACTGCCAAATATCTAAAGATAAATCGTGATATTCATTTTTTTACCTGAAAATATTGAGTGTTTTCTGTGTTTTCCTGAAGAAATTTTTTTAATGCTCAATTCTATTTGTGTTATGAAATTCGTATCAAAATTCAATTCTCGACATTTCTATGACGAATTGCAATATTTTATATTTAACATGTATTCTTTGTCTAGTCAAATTACCCATTGGGTGCACAAAATATATTTACATATTGAATGGAATGTGTTTATTATTTATATACCACCTATTTACTGCTCCATTGGACGATCGGTTGATCATTTTGGGGCCCTCGCCTTTGATAACGTCCCACCAGAACCGAATCTCCAGGGATTGCCCACTCATCCATACACCACCCGGGACAGAAATTCAACTGAGCAATTGAAAACAAGCAGTCAGCCATTCCTAACGGTAGAAGACATACGATTGTTATTTCCCGTGTTATTTATTTATTTTTTAAATTTTATTTTGCCATCAATTTCATTGATGTGTTGCGAATGCCGCAGCTAATATGAATATTTAAAGGAAAACGCAAAATTTTCTATTTGTTTAAATAAAAGGAGAAGTAAAAGGTTAAAACGAAATGCCAGCAGATCGACATATAGCCAACAGCCGCTCGTGACAATTAAAAAATCGTAAAACATAAGTGAAACGGGGCCATCTTTAGCCGTCAATATCCAAATGATCGCGAGGAAGAGGTGGTGCAACAAAATACACGACAGATGGGAAATTGAACGAAACAAGTCAATACACGCTGGCCGAAGATTTTATGTGATTCCTATGCTTCACGTGCATTAGATGAAATTATTTATTACCAAAATGTCGTTCAAATTTAACAGTCAAAACCCCCCTTTGATTTTCAATCCTATAAAAAGGGCTGGAATCGCCCAAAAAGACTTCAGTTCCAAATTTACTTCCACTTCGAGTGCCAGTCCAGTGTCGTCCAGTGTCCAAGTTCTCTTTGAAGACGTCTCAGCTTTACCAATTCCTGACGACAAGCGCCGTCCAGCTAAAAAAACTGAGTTCATCAGGCTTCAACCAAGACGTCTCTGGGTCAATTTGCCGATACCTAATTCCTGACGGTAAATCTACTTCTGTACCAGTTCTTCAACCAAGACGTCTCTAGGTCAATTTGCCGATGTCTAATTCCTGACGGCAAATCCAGTCCTATATCAGTTTCAAATTTACTTCCACTTGGAGTGCCAGTCCAGTGGCGTCCAGTGTCCAAGTTCTCTTCGAAGACGCCTCAGCTTTTACCAATTCCCAACTGAGTCAACCAAATTACTGACGTCCCGCATTCGAGCGATCTCACCAGTTCCAGACGTCTTAATCCTGTACCAGTTCTTCAGTCAAGACGTCTCAGAGTCAACTCGCTATTGCCAGTTCTCGACGACAAGTTTTGTGCAAATGCATCCTGAGCACCAACTCAGTGCAAATCCAGCTCAGACCAGTTCTTCCGCCGACAATCAACAGTGTTTGCACGGCCGCAAGCTCCTCCGGGAACCCCGTCTCACCGACCATCGCCTGAGCCTGCAGCGACCCACCTCGTCGACCCTCCAGAGTGATCACACTCGTTTTCTCACCCCATTTAGTCCAACCAACAATCACCGTAAGCCAAATAAAATACACACACTCCACTAACACACTATTCTTTTCACTCACACTAATTCCCCGGTTTTTATAGAAAAAAAACGTCTTTATGCTTCAAATATTTTTTAATCAATCATCACATCTCGAGTCGTAAAACACAACTCAAATCTACGAATCCCAATTCAGAGGTTTTTCTTGATGAATGAGTATTAAAATATGAATGCTTTTTTATTAAATGTAAAAAAATCAAAAAATTATTCAACACCTAATACAAAGTGATCGATAATATCTATTTTGTATGAGAGTAAATAATCCAGAGTATTAACAATAAAAAAAAATAATTCAAATGAACCTTCCGAGATATCCGCATCGGCAGTTGCAGCCTAAACGGGAAGATACATTTTTCTTATTTTTCCTTCTAAAATTAACTAGAATAGTATTCAAGAGAATTTATAATTTATTTGTCTTTTAACGTAACGTAAATAATTTCCTATAAACAATGTCTTTGCGATCTTCAACTGAAAGTATTGCTGGATTGTTTGTGCTCACTCCAGTAGGAAAAGATGATTGAATTCATTGGAGTTTTCATGAATTTCCCCTGGAGACGTCATCAATAATTTTCTGGAAATTGCCACCCCCTGGACAGACAGTCATCACCCCAATGCTCTCAAATAACTGACTAGCCTGAAGATTCTCAGGCAATTTCGTCAAAAACTGTGCACACCTCACAAAATCCATCCCCAAGAGTTCCTCCTGGTAGAGATTCAAGACCCCCAGAGCAGTTCTGAAGAGAAACTCATCTCCATCTTTAACGAAGACATCCCAGACTCTGCAGGCAACATCCAAGGGCATGGCCTTGGCATAAATTGTGTAAACCCAGTCCAGTAGATAAAAATCAGGACTCAATCCGGATGAGATGAAATGAGCATGAACTCTTGGCAGATTTTTCAGCAGAGCTGCTGCAAAAACCTCGTAATAGACATTCATCTGTCTCTGATCAAGGGTAAACGCTGCTTTATGGCAAGGATTATCCAGAAGATTAGAGAAGCAGACGAATGCATCATGCGGTTCCATATTCAATGTTAAAACAGCACCGATGAAGCTCATCCCCTGGACGTATCCTACCTCAGGCCTGTAGACACAGTACGCAGCTAAAACACTGCGCAAGGGTTCATTCAGGGGTCCCTCCTCCTGGAAAACGCAAAGAACGGGAAAAGTCCTGGAGACATCGAGCCTGATAGCCACCAAGGACTCGTGATTGACCTTCTCCCTCAGTTCGTTAAGACAATTACGATAGATATCACCTTGAATATTCAATTTATTGCTGATCCCCAATCTCCAGACCCTTCCTCGAATGCTTGGGGGCAATCCTCTCCACCAGAGATCTTGCACTTCCCTCGACAATCTCAACTGTTCAAAATTCGGAAGAATATCACTGGTCCACAGTCTGGAGTCCACCAGGAGTCTCTCCTCCTCTTTATATCTCTCCTCGCGTTTTTTATTCCTCTCTTTCTCCGCCTGTGTCTCGCGTCTTCGCACCGACTCCAGAATCTCGTCATGTTCCTTCTGGTGTTTTGTCTCTTCGTCTGGATTTTTTGCTGGAAGGTACGAGGGACGGGAGTGCTGGATCAGACCTAGGGAACCGATTCTATCGTTTCTTTGGGAATTTCTTGAGTTTTCACGACGTCTGAAGAAGTTTTTCATTAGCTCCAGGGTTAGGGGTTTGGCTGTGGATTTTTCCAACATAATCTCATGGCTTTTACAGCAATCTCATTAGGTTTATTGGTTTGATGTGAGTCTCAGTTCATTTGTATTTCAGGCGGCAAAGGGCTTTTGTAAGTCTTTTGTTGTTCAGATCTTTGAGATTCATTAGATCCACTGTAACATAAAAATTCAACAATTGAATACTAATAATCCGAATTAATTATAAATAGATATATTCGAAAGAATAATGGCAGGCCTTTAATAAACTACTACTCAATTCAAAACTTTTCATAACTAATTGATATTATTAATAATTAAATAATCAATTAATTAAGAATGAAATAATACGTCATATTAAATCGTAATTATCATTATTTTATAATAACAACTATCGTAATATTATTATTTCAATTGATAATCTTCTCGCCCCTTTTCTCTTATTTTTATCCAGTAAAGTGAATAAAATAATAAAAAATTGAATTTATAAATTATCCCATTAATTAATTAATTAACCAGACATTTTTCAAAAATATGTAAATGGGAAAAAATATAAATATGGGACATAAAATGTGAAATTTCTGAATAATTAACATTTTGGAGCAACATTAATTGAACAATTAAAAATATTAATTGAACAATTAATAATTGTCTTGGAAGATGGGAAATGAAAAGTATTGAATAGAAATCTTGATTACCCAATTGTTGAGGTGAAATTCATGAATATTTTGAGAGTAATAAAATTTGCTTGACATTTGTCAAATTCATCCCAGTATTCACAAGACGTAAGAGCACTATTCATGATTTTTCAATAATGACACTCATTATGTAATGAGTAGATCATGTACATTGTTAATGGACGGATGAGTTTATAAATATATGGTAATGAAAAATACTTCTTTGTAAACAATTCACATGTTTCACACAATCTCCAATGATTTCGGAGTGTCAAGTGATGTCTCATGTTTTCAATGTCAATTGCAGAGGCCGCCACTTGGATAAAAGTGAAAACGTGTACATTACCCCATTTATCCCTATGTTTCTTGTAAAATGTACATTTGTCCTCAATTTTTTACGTTTGTAAGGATTTTTTAGGTTTGTGCACTCGGATTTCCACGAATCAGTTGATTCGGGGGGTGTAATTACACTGGTAATTACACTTGTAATTGAAAAGGCTCAGGAGGAGTTATGGCTGATTTCGTTAACATCTCCTCTTCATATTTAAAATAGGTAATTATTCACTGATTCATCCATTATTTACTGTTCCCCTTTATTCAGATTTGGGACTTGCCAATGCAATTATTTTTTCTATTTTCAATTGTTAATTGAAAATAATATTGTTAATTGTATGTTCGAATTTTTTGGTTATATTTTGTCGATACTCTAGGGCATTATTAGCACACAAATGAAATTTGTCGTTTTATTTTTCCAGATTGTAGGAATTTATTCTTCGTCTCAGCTATTTCACGTGAAAGCACTGATTCATTTGAAGAATCTGCAGACAATTTGAATTTAGATTATTTATTTGTTAGCTACTTTAATAATACTTGATCTCAGGCATAATCAGATCTTCAGCAAAACCTGAGCCAAGAATGTAAAGAAGTTCGGGTAAATGCACATTTTTCTATTTAAGGCCCGGATGGACTGTCTGGAAAAGATAATTTACTCCAAAATTGGGACTTCTAATTACTCCGTCAATTAATCGTTTTTTCCGATAATTTTTAGCTAGCGGCCGAGTTGTTGACAATCGCTAGAACGCTAGCTAACAATTATTGAAAAAAAACGATTAATTGTCGGGGTAATTAGAAGTCCCAATTTTAGAGTAAATTATCTTTTCCAGACAGTCCATCCGGGCCTTAAATTAATAGTAAAAACCTTGAAAAATGCGAGTGCAACAATTTTTTATGGATGTCCATATCATCGCAGTATTCTCTATTTACTACTTCAATCACAATATTTAAAAATTCTTTCGGATTGTAATGATTCGTAATTTGACTAATTTGTGTTTATTTTTTTAATTGCGAAAACCATATGAAACAGATTGATCAATTTTAATTCAAGGAGAAATTATCTTTAAATATTCAATTAAAGGATTTTTATTTAGGAAGTCCCTGAATTAATCCATTAGATTGTGATGAATAAATCATCAGAAATAATTGGAAATCAAGTGATTTCCATTTTTTGTCATGATTCATCAGACTTCTGTGAATTACTATAATTACTAATTAATATAGAGATGCTCTCATTAAAATTTCTGTAGTAGAAATTAAGACTGTCTTCCTCAAATCACAGAACCTAACTATCTACAATGATAAGCGATTTGTTGAAAAGCATTGACTATCAGATATTATCAGATTCAATACCTCTCATTATTTAACGCCATTATAAATTATCATTAAAAACATGGTTGCAGCACAATCAATTAGAATTTTCAGATAATTTGATGATATACATTATTATTAATCATTTTTTCTGCATTATTAACGTTTTTTTTTTATTTTTAGACTCTAGAAATTTAGAGAACATCACCTGACAGTCCATCAATCTCCTAATTACTAAATCCTTCATTTACCGATTTATTTTCGTCTAAACAATATTCCATACTACCCCAGCATCAACGCAAAAATTTCCAAGTAAAAAATTTATTGATATATATTTTTATCAAGCCTTACATAAAATTCTCGTGTCATCCCGAAACTCGTCATCACCAGGATAATCACCAATTACTAATTAATTATTAATCGTTATCATTACCAATGATAACGATTTTACGATGAAATTATTTAAAACGTTTGAACCATCAGTTTAGTTTGAATTGAGCCCTTCCAATAAATAAATAACCGTGTGCATCTGTCGCAGACCTTCGGACACTGAGAACTTAAAAGACATAAGAACTAAAAAAAAAAAGCCAGGAATTTGCATAGAAGCATGCTAATGTAATTTACCCCACTCATCCCCTATCCAATTAGTTCTAGAAACTAGGGAACAGTCGGACAATCCCGGTCACCAGCATTAAATATCACTGCCACTAAATTTAAAATATACGTGTTAATTACTAATTAATAATCTCTCAAGAAATATCCACAGTATTGAATTCAGTAATAATTAGATAAATAATGAATTGGTTTTTAATTATCACGTTAGCACACGTGGCCATGTCGAGTGGCGCTGAGGAACCTCCTGGACTGTCTGAGGACACGATATCCGATCCACTCCATCCAGATCATCTCCAGGAACAGGATAAATCACAACATCTCAGTTACAAAGACATCATGATGAAGAGTAAAGTCGATCTGAAAAAGAAAGAAGAGGAAGTCCAGGTAATTTTTATCATTTTTATCAATAACTCCAAGAGATTCAGTTCATTCATTAGTTAACAATTTCTATTAATGGCACTAATCAACAATAAATAACCGCCAGGAATAATAATTTATACTTTGACAGTCTGAAATTATAAAAAAGAGTGGATTCGCGTCAATTCATTTTTTCGTTATCGAATCTCTAATTCTCTTTTAATTTGTACAATTAAAAATTAAATTTTAATCAATTTATGTTACTTCTAGGAATACGCCAACAAACTATCGAAAATAAAATCTCGGACGAAATTATCCCGCCGCAGTACCGAGTCCTCGACATCTCTGGATTCTCCAAAGCTCGGGTCATCAGTTTCAAGACTAGATGATGAGACTGATGTGAACGATGTCAGCGAAGCAAAGACCCCAAAGGCGAAGTCCCACTTGCTCCAAAAGAAATTAGCAGAGAATCGTAAAATATTTGAGCAACGGAACAAAGAGATAAACGAATCAAATCGAGCGGTGGAAGAGAAAGTTGAGGAAATTCGAAAACAGATAAACGAAACTGAGTTGCAGAAGGATCTGAATATTCCTGTATCAATTCCTTCCATCTCCCTCTTGCCTCAGCATCTCCCAAAGGATTCCCAACTCTTGGAGAAAGATAACAAAATAGTTGAGCTAAATACGAAGATTCACGAGTTAGAGACAATCATCATTGATCTTCAGGATAATCTCAAGGAGAAAGATTCCGTGATAGATTCGAAGATGAAAGCTGTTACCCTAATGTCTGAAGATCTCTCCAGAAAAGGAAAAACAACACTTGATACTTTGGAAGACACCAAAGACGAGATGAGAGCGATGCAGCAGAATTTCGTGCTGATGGAGAGCTCCTTCAAGAACAAACACGAACACTTGGTGTCTCAACTAGAAGAGAAATCTAATCGAGTGATTGAGCTTGAAGAGACATTGCAGAAGATGGAGAATCCAGAAGTTGATAAAACCGATGATTGCTCTTCATTAGAAATGGTTGGAGAGCTGAAGAGGGAAATGACAGCGATGCAGGAGAATTTCATTCTCATCGAGACTGGCCTCAAGGATAAAGTCAATAATCTTATGATTCAGCTGGAGGAACGTGAGAGAAAATTGGCAGAGGTGGATGTATCATCCTCAAACGAACGAACGATTAATCATGACGAGGTGTCTAGGCTGGTGGAGAGTAATCGAGTGCTTCAGGAAGAGAATGAAAAGTTATTGAAGACTGTGGAGAACTTGAAGATTCAAAACGACCTAACCCAAGAGAAGGACAACAGGATCATGGAGCTGGAGGGAACTGTTGAGGAACTCAAATCCACAGGGGCTGGAGCTGGTGCTGAGGGTGAGACTGTGCAGAAACTGAAGGCTGAACTCGATCAGCTCAACAAGAATACCATCAAGCTTAAAGCACAACACAAGAGCAAGATCAGGGCTCTTAACAAACGATTAGAAAGCTTCAAAATGGTTGTGTATTCAATTTCTATTTCCATCAAATCATTCTGAATGAAGAGATGAGTCGGTAGATTTTTGTTAATTTTATCTCACAATTCTTTAAGCAAACAAAAATCTTCGATGCCTTTAACTCATCTCTTGGTTTGGATAATGAAGATATTTGATAAAAATCGTGTGGTTATTTTTCTCATGAATATTCTACTATTGGATCAGGTGTCGGATGCAAATGCAGAATTGGTGAAGCTTGGAAATCAGGTTGCACTGTTGGAGGAGGAGAAAGGTAATCTACAGCTGAGTCTTGTAGACTTTGACGAACTTAAAGGTAGGAATCATGGGGAAAAGTGAACGTTTTTTTTTCTAAAACATTTTAAATCAGCATTTTTGGCTTAATAATTCAATGGTGATGGTGTACAGATAATTTTATTGAAATGTAAACATGATGCCTACTGTTATTGGTCAAAGATTACCTCACTCAAATATCCATTGGACAATCAGAACAATGTGTTGGTGGTCAAGTGGTAAAAACTTATTTGCACATTATTTTATCGTGATAATTCTGTTTGCGTAATTACGTACAAGAGACTTTTGGATGTGCCTCGTTTTTCCATTTGTCTACTGAAATATCACTGTAACGTTTTGGTTCTTTTTTTTGCTGATATAAATGAGCTCTTCAATTTTGTGCAGCTTCGGCAGTCGAATTACAGACGCGTATTAGCGAACTTGATAGCAAAGTCGAGGCTCAAGCTGGTGTTATTCAGGCACATGTCGATGCTATTGCCGCTCTGGAGAATCAGAAGTTGGATCTTATGGAAGGTAATGTTTATGTCATCAGAAACTGCTCCAAAGAAATTAAATACTCTTAAGGCTCGGATGGATTATCTAGAAAAGATAATTTACTCCAAAATTGGGACTTCTAATTACTCCGTCAATTAAGCGTTTTTTCCGATAATTGTTAGCTAGCGGCCCAGTTGTTGACAACCGCTAGAACGCTAGCTAACAATTATTGAAAAAAACGATTAATTGCCAAAGTAATTAGGAATTCGAACTTCGGAGTAAATTATCTTTTCTAGACTGTCCATCCGGGCCTTAACGATTTGTGAAATAATTCAATTCTGTTTTCTACGCATTGTTAAATATGGAAATTGAACTAACACTAAATTTTTGCAAAGAGATTGAATAATTTTTTAGTGAATAATTAATTAATTGGAATTGAGACTATTTTCTCTGGATAATGTTAATTCCATAAATTTCATTCCTTTTTCTCACAATTTTTCAATTGAATGAATTATTTAAATAATGAAAATCTACATCAATAAATTGAAAATCTACTTGATCAATTTCCAATGAAATTAAACTAAAACTAAATTTGTACAAAGAGATTGAATAATTTTTGTTGCATAATTAATTAATTTGCTCGGAATTGATACTATTTTCTCTGGATATTGTTAATTGCATAAATTTCATTTAGTTTTTAAGATCTTTTTGTCATAATTTTTCAATCGAATTAATTATTTAAATAGAATCGTTTTCCACCCCGTAGGGAAGAAAACGTATATTTTAGGTCTTGCCGAGGCTTGACCCTTCGGAGATTACGTCACGTATGCATCGCATGCATGTGTGTCTCGAACCTATAGTGAGAGCTGTCTATGGGGGGCGAAGGGCGCTTCGATCCGCCATCAAGTGTCGGTTAGCGCGGTTGACGCGGGATTCGTCAGTGCTTTCTCCGAATGACGGCAAGCCCTCACTCGGGTCAAGCCTCGGCAAGACCTAAAATATACGTTTTCTTCCCTACGGGGTGGAAAACGATTCTATTTTATGTCTGTGCCTTCGGCTTGACCCTTCGGAGAGATGTTTGGAGTCTGCCGGCACTTGAAAGTGTACTGTGAGAGCTTAATTTATTAATAGAACTTTATTTATAAACCTTCCATATGTAATATAAACTTCAAACTATTCAACGTATAGAACAATGTAACCGAAACCGTGCTACACGGGAACAAAACTCTTAACTAAAAGACTTTTTGGTTTGGAAGATCTGTGATTGGTGATTTCCTTGCAGTAATACTTGAAGAAATTATTCGCTCCTTTCCAATTACCCCTCTTCAGGATCTCGTCCATGCCCATGTCATTTTGGTAATTGTCTGATGCCACTGCCGACCTGACTGATCCTGGACTAGAATCAATTCCAGCTTCTGCCAAGGCAGTTCGGATCCATCCTGCAATTATCGCTCTTGAAGCATTCTTCACCCTACCCCTCGTAGTGATGAATAGCCCATACAAATCCTGACGAGCTTCTCGTCTGCTAGCGGACAAGGCAATGACTAGTTTAATACCTGCCACTAGGTTAAAAGTTGGATTTTCTGAGCTAGAGATCTGCCAACCTGATTGACGGTAATTTGCTTGGTCTGTTTTCGATCCGAACTCAGGCCAGAAAATTATTTCGTTCTCCCCCATAAGGCAATTATCCGGCTTAATTGAAAGTAAGGTGAGGTCGTGAATACGCCTTCCTGATGCTAGCAGTAATTGGAGAGCCACGAATCGTGACATCTGGAAAAAGCTGTCTTTATCGGGTGGATGATCTGCCATCCAGTTGGTCAATGTCTCCACACTCCAGATAGTGGACTTGGAGGGTTTCCTCTCTCTTGCCCGATGAACTCCGATGGCCTTCAATAACGACTTCACCAACGGGTTTGAGGACAAACCCTTGTCTCCCCGAGGATTATTTAACGTGCAAATCACTGACTTTTGAGTCAAAATAGAGTTGTAGGCTAATTTTTTGTCGTAAAAAAGGAAACTCAAATATGAGACTAAGTTTTGGGCGCTGGGGTTATCAGATGGAATATCTCGCGCTTGACACCAACTCCACCATTGCTTCCAAATGGCTGAATAGGTCCTCCAGGAAGAGTCCCTCCAAGCTGATGCCAGCAGCTTGATTTCTGCCTCAGCTAAACCGCTTACGTGGGTACCCCACCCCGTACCTTCCAGACCTCTAAAACCAATTCTTTGGCGTTTTGGGGAGGGAGGCCTGTCGACAGGTCTACCAGGTTCTCCTCGAGGTTGAAGAGTTGGAATGGCGCTGCCAGGCTCCGGTTTTTCAAGTCTCCCCTCCAGAAGGTTTTCTCCCATCTGGGAGCGATCACTAGAAATGTCCCTCTCGCTGAGTTCAGGTGATGAAGGATCTTTGGGATTAGTGGAGGTGGAGGGAATACCCAGGCCAATGTCACGGTCCAGGCTCTGCTGAAGGCGTTGATGAACTCTGCTCCCTGATCTCTTGCATCCATCGACACGTATCTTGGTACAATCCTGGATTGATGTGTCGCGAACAGGTCGATCTCCGGGGTGCCCCACTTCCGGAAAATCATCCCTGTCATTGCGCTGCTCAGATGCCAATCTGGTAGAGGGAGATTTCTCGAGAGTCTGTCCGCCAGAGTGTTGTAGACCCCCGGAAGGAAGAAAGGAACCAGATGGATCTTGTATTGGTCCAGTAACATCCAAAGATCCTTGACCACTCGTAATAAGGTCTGAGACCGAGTCCCTCCTTGGTTCTTGATGTAAGCGACAGTCGTTCTGTTGTCTGACTGAACCATCACCGATCTGCCCCGGAGGTGTTCTTTGAATCTCTGAATCGCCAAGCTGACCGTGAAGAGTTCCTTCCTGTTGATGTGCCAGAGCTCCTGTTCCTCTGACCACGTTCCTGCCTGATGCACATCCTCCAATTGGAAACCCCACCCCGTCAGAGACGCATCCGTTGTCAGAAAGATGTCTGGATCTGGTGTAAAAATCAGCCTTGTCTGGTGGATGTTCTCCTTCCACCACACACAGTCGGAGCGACTTGCATCGGATAGGGGAAAGGACTTTCTTGGAAACTTTCTCGATAACTGGCGACTTCCTCGTTGTAACTGACGTGAGAATAGTCGTCCCAGAGGTGTGACCAGCGCCGCGAAATTCAGCAAGCCCAACAGGGAGGTGCTCTGTTGCCAGTTCCAGCGTCCCGAACTTAGAATCTTCTGGACATTTCTCAAGATTCGCTCCTTCTTGGCGGAGGGAAGAATCATCTCGTTCCGATGGGTGTCCCAAATGATTCCCAGAAACTCGACTTTGTGTGTTGGGTTGATTGTGGATTTTTCCTCGTTTACTGCCCACCCTAGAGACCGAAGAAGTCCCATTGCCATTTGAATCTGGTTCTGAAGCTGCTGGGCATCCTGGTGAGCTAGTAGGAAGTCGTCCAGATATACCACCACTCGTATCCCCTTCTGGCGAAGGACATCTGCTATCCAATTGGTAATCCTGGAGAAGGCTAATGGTGCCGTCGATAATCCGAATGGGAGACAGGTAATGTTGAACAGCTGGTCCTTGTACGACAGACAAAGGAACCTGCGGTGACTCAATTTTATTGGGATATGGAGATAAGCCTGAGAGAGATCTATTTTTGCTAGGAAATCGTCCTTCTGTAGAAAGTATGGGATCTTCCGTTGATTTATGAGGCGGAACTTGGGCGGTTGAAGATATTCGTTGAGGCAGCGCAAATTGAAAATCTGTCTGAATTTTCCATCTGTTTTTGGAATTAAAAACATCGGTGAGATAAAACCTGTTTCCCAAAAGGCTTTTTCCAATACTCCTTGACGCAGCATGTGTCGAATCTCCTTTGACATTTCTGGTGATATTTTCGTGGCGTGTTGCCTCAGGATCTTTCCTGTAAGTGGAATCGTTGGGGGTTTTTGGACAAATGGAATGGAGTATCCTTTCAAAACGTCTAGAATGTGCTTCGGGGCTCCTAAGTCCGTCCACTGGGGAATGAATCGGCTTAGCTGGCCTCCCCTGAACCAATAGTCAGGCTTTCCGATGTGAGCGCTCCCCCCTTTTTGAGTAATCTTTTTTTGGGGTCTTTCCTGAAGATTTATTTCCCTGCTTGCTAGAGGAAGAACTAGCTGAGGTTTTTCTTGAAGATTGAGGTTGAGAGAAGGTTCTGGAGTTACTCTGCAGTTTGGGGCGAAAGCTACCAAATTGAGCAGGTTGAAAAGATTTTTTCTTATCCTGGAAAAAAATCTTTCGAACTCCCCCATGATGGTTTAGGAATTCCGAGAGTAACATTTCATCGAATAGATGGGACTCAGAAGGAGGAATTTCCATCAACTTGGCTGTATGATGAGGATCCCTAGCCTTAAAGGCGTTTCTCCTCCACTCAATAATCTCTGCCCTCTTTGCACAAGTGAAATGCAGAATTTCGTCGGAAATTGTTGCGAATGGGGACTCCCCAAAGAAGGCTTTCCTGACGTCCTCTCTGATTTGGGGATATTTTTCCACTAAGGACTTGGCCGCTAGTGATAATCTCTCTCTCTGAATCAAAAGTCCATGAGTAAGGGTACCCGCCGACGAGTCTGACTTTGCCAGGAGTGTCTGAGCGAAAGACTTTGGAGCTAGGGCTCCCAGTTGGTTATTTATCTTGAGAGCATCAAAGACCGGTGCTGCTTGGAGTTTCTTTTGGACTTCCTTGTATTTTATTTGATTCCAGGCTGCTGTACCGAGTTTCTGGCAGGCCAATCCGTCCGCTTTAATCTTCGAGTCTGGTTCAGGGATGGGGGGTTCACACACCTTTACCTGTGGGATTAGGACTAGATCACCGTCTCCCGATTCTGAAAGGTGAGGTTGTTCTGACCAACCCATATCTGGGGCTGTCCATGAACCTTCCTCCTCACTTGAATCCTCGCTCGCACTTGCTGAGAAACTATTCTCTTTGTCAGAGGCTGCGTCTACGCACTTTCTCTCTTTTTTCTCGCACAAGATCTTGAACATCATATCCATTCGGTTTTCCAAGGCCTCCAATCGAGCTCGTTTGGACTGAGGCTCGTCCTCACTCTCCTCCTCAACAATCGTGCCCCCTGCCGCCTGTCTCAAAGCCTGATCGGCTTCCACTCGAGAAACCAGCAGATTCTTCAATGGTTTCAAAAACCCTGCAAATATCTCTGTCTGGGCCCTTGACCCACGCAGTCTATTCACAACTGCTGGAGGACTCGTGATCAGGGCTCTACAAAAATCCCAATTTATCATTTTAATTTTGTATTCTCGGAATACTTTCTCACTCAGACTGCTCGCCTCAGGATTAAAGGCCTTGGCGATTCCCACGGTAGGTAGTGCGTACCGTAATTTATTTAGCACTTGTGGGTCCACACTCTCTGCCTCCGGGTCTAGGCCCAGTGCCTCTGCTGCAGAGAGATTCAGACTTTTAAGATTCTGCCAACCCTCTGGGAGAGTCTCGGCTGCCAATGTTTTTAGGTTATCCAGGATAGCGTCATCCTCCTCATTATTCGCCGCCACACTCATCAGCTCCTCCAGCGTGACTGGTACCGTTTCGACTATCGCTGTCATCTGAAACCCAGTAAGGATCTTATATTATCCCGAAACTGGGGGTATGTGTGCTCGAGAGAATGTCTGCAAGCTAACCTTCAAACGGGTCGAGGTGGAACCTGCGACTCCTGAGTAAGGTACCAAGATGTAAGGAAATAACCTGCAAGGATCGAGGTGAAACC